ATATTTAGTCTCAAAAAAATATTTTTATTTTGTTTTATACTTTTTATTTTTTCTAAAATTTAATCATACAAAATACCCCTAAAAATAAATAAACACATACATAAATAAAATAAAAAAATAAAAAATACCAAAAAATATAAATGGCTCAACTAAAGTGGTTTGGCGCAGTTTGGCTTTAGGCACAGAAAGTAGCTTGAAGACTCGACTCAGAGGCTCAACTCAACTCGAGCTAAGGACAGTGAAACCAGTTACAAGTGGATCGATGCTATGAGTTGGGTCATCCAAATAGAAAACGCGTAATCTTGGTTGAATAAAACGCTCAAAACGACATCATTTTAAGATGGTATAAAATGTTATTTTTTGGCTTTTTCTTAAGATTTCTCCTTTCCCCATCTCTCTTTTTTTTCCTTTTTCTCTTTCTCTAAACCAGATGAACTCCGGTTGAATATTCACTGAATTTTGAAAAATCTTATCGAAATCTGAATTTGTTTGTCAGAATCTAACTGAAAATTCATCGATTTCTAAAAAATGAACGCTGAAAATTGGAAACTTCCCCGAAAACTGAAAATTTCGCCTAAAAGTCACCAAAAACTTCATACTCACCAAAAAATTTAAAAAAAAAAAACTTTATTTTTTCCCCAAAAATTTTCACTCTTTCTAAATATTTTCATGTGATGTTTCTTCTCTGAACACTAGGTTTTCTATGTATACTTTCTCTTATTTTTGTTTTTATCTTTGCTCTGTGTCCTTTCTGTTTCTGATCAGCATGTATTTATAGGGATCAATCAAAAGATTTCTGATTAATTTTAAGTCCACCTTTGACTGGAATTTCACATTATCAGAAGACATCATATTTATTCTATTGCAAATAAAAACCAACACCAATTCCTCAGACACCAATTCACGATAAAATTTTACTATTTTTATTTTTTCTTCATTTTTTTTACTATTATCCTATTATCTTAACACTAGAAAAATTAGAGATAAATCAAATAAAAAACCAACAAAAAATCAAAGATAAAAAACAAAAAATAATTAGCAAAAGGATAAACCCAAAAAAATAAGTAAATAAATAAATAAATAAAATATAAAATAATGAATGATTGAGCTTGGTAATTTGGACCCCATTGAACCAGGCCCAATTAGTTTAGACCTGGACCAAATAAGGTGTTTACAATTCCATTGATTAATATTAAGTAGCGAAAACTACATCTAAAGAATTTCATCGGCCATTCAATAAAAATTTCAAACAAAGTAGAGGAATTAAGATCAAATTTGGTATGGTACGAGTTAATGTTAAATTTGATCAATGTAGTTCAATTTTTTTGAGTTTTGCCATGATAATTTTAATTCTGTTGATTGTTGGACATAAAATAATAAAAACAGATGAAAAATTACCATTTGCATTAAGATAATATATAGTGAAATATTTCAATTTCATTATTTTTTATATGAAAATCAATTAAAAATAAAAATACAGTAATAAAATTTACCATTCTAAAAAAACAAAAAAGTAATATGTAAATGATAATAATAATAATAATAATAATAATAATAATAATAATAATCCAAATTAAAACCTTGGACATATGGTTGTAAAAATTTTAATTATCACATATCAATTAGCTAGTTGACATGTTTGCAAACCCTCCTTATTATTCCAGCCGGACCAATCAGAGGTTCGATATCTCCCATTTTTATCATGGCAGAGGCGAAATCCGAATTAAAAATAGAAGGGTTCCTGCTATACTCTGAGACTATGTGGTCGGTGGATTCACCATTGAAGAGGACTTGATCTGATTGCAGAAGGCCCTTCTTTTGCATCAGGTTCTTGAAGTAGTTGTTGTCAAAGGAATTTGGTGTCACCAGATCAAGTGGTGCCAAATTTGGATTACCATTGGGAAAAGTAGCAGGACAATGACGCCTGCGTGTGCTAGCAAAACCAGCATCGATATCACTTCCATTGCCGTATATCCTACCCTGAAATGCACCACACTGAGCTAGTCCTATGGTATGAGAACCTACAAATGGTTTTGAAGCTCATTTGTCATTGATAGTTTGCTAGGGAAATGAAGTGTTTTCTATGATTTTTTACTTCAAAAATAATTGTGCACCAACCTGACAAAGCAACCATGCCTCTAGCACTAAGGCCCTTGCTTCCAAAGAGAGAGATGAGTGTCTCAAGGCTGTCAGAGAAACGAGTAAGTTGACTAGTAGCCAGACTTGTGTTTGCAGTGGTAGAATCTTTTCTTCCAAGCTTCACTGTCCAAGATGGGCCACCTACCTAAGTTGTTTGAAGAGATCAGATGTAATCAGTCTGAATATCCAATATGGGAAAGTCGGATTATTGAAAACTGAAATGTATTTAGTAATTAAGTACTAACATATTCAGAGGCATCCCTGGCTGCAACTGCGAGGACGTCTGCACAAGATAAAACTCCAGGACATGTTTTCTCCACAGCAGTTTTGCCTGATCAATGACTTCATAACCTCTTAGAGAGTTGTTGTTTTGCCGTGCAAACTCTTCGCTTGTGATTGAAAGGGAATTGTCTAGTGAGACTGTGGCATCACATCCCTAAGGAACACAGGCAAGAGACTTGGTTAACTATAAATAGAACAGCATTAATTTGTTTTATATATTATATACGTATACATATACAAACAAATACCTGAACAAAGCAATCATGGAAATGAAGGCGAATTAGAGATGCCGCCATTCTACGCTCTCGTGCAATAGCTGCCCTAATGGCTGTTCGAATGATACTAAGTGCATTTGGACATGTTTTTTCATAAAATGTAGAAGAAAGTTGTGCTTGGCATGTGCTGCTCAAAAGCAGAAGCATTACCACAGCAGCAACTCTACTAGTTTCTAGGCATTACAAAGAGTCACTAACCACTGTCACCATTCTTCAGTTCTTTCACGAAAATGTTAAGCACAAGGCAGAGATTTTTTGAAGGAAAATAACTAAACAAACTAGAGAAACTATAAAATGTGAAGAAAGGAGGATGGTGACTGAGAGAGTGGGTCGCTCACTTCACTTTTATAGAGCATCGATATTTGATATAGAAACGAGTAGACCTAGTCTTGGGTCACCGCTTGACATAATCTTCCTAATGAATTTGACCAATCCTGCACGGAATACTTGCTATTAGACATGGTCCTAATAATACAAAATTAAAGGGTCCGAATTGAAATTCTGGTAGACTTTGAAGCCCCAGCGTCTCAGTCACAATTGACAAAGCCACATCCATCCATGAATGTCCAACAGAAAAAATATATAGGTGGCTCTTCCTGTGTGGTCCTTAACCATGGATTTTCCAAAGGGAGAGTTGAAACGTAATGAAGGGGCTAATATTTTGTCATTAGAGGAGGAAAGAAGGCCTGTTCCTCTCTCACCTTTGAACCCTGTCTAGTGCAGTAGCTTTGTTCTGTGACTCCCTTTCATCAAAACCAAAATTTCCATGAAAAATAAATTTATTAAATAAAAACTAAGTCTATATGATTTAAATTTAATTGTTTTGTTTACAGGGTTTATATTTATTGCATGATTAGTGTATAGATGTTATACACATCACATCATTAATTGATTTTAATATAAATAAATATTCAAATTTTAAAAATATTTATTTTTAAAAAATTCTAAAATTTTAAATTTTAATAATTATATGAGAATTTGTGATGTACTAACAATATACAATATTATACATACAATGAGGATACATCAAATATAAATCATTATTTATAAATAAATAATTCATTTTGTTATTCATCAAAGCTTTTTTTAATTTATAAAATTGCTCAAAAATATTGTTTTCTTCAATACCAAAATGCACTTGTTACTATTCATTTTGAAAAGTAAAAATATTAAAGTTGTTTATCGGTAAAAAAAAAAAGTTATTTCTCACTTGTTAGTGTAACAAATATATTTTTTTAATTTAAAATTTTTTTTAAGTTTATATTTAATATATTATCAATATATAGATTTTATACATCATCACTAAATCAAATTATGTTACTTTATTAATGATCAAATATAAATTTTTATTAGCCCTTAACATAAATACACAAATACTTAATTTTTAAAAAAATTCCTATTAATAAATTGATATCATCTAATTCACTAGTGATATTTAGAATCTTTACATTAATATTACATCAAATATATATATATTTTTAAAATTCTGAGCTTGAACAAATTTGAAGTAGGTCAAGTTGAAGTTTTGATACTTAAAAAGCAAACATGCTAAATATAACAACAGGCCCAAAAATTCATATGAAGTAATTCTAAATTAATATTTTTATTTAAAACTATACAAATTTAAACTTTAATCATTGAAATTAAAAGTAACATTTTACCAATAAAACTCATATTTTAGCCTAAAATAATAATCTTTATGTTAGTACCATATAAAAGAATCTATTTTTAAACTTAATCTTAGTATTGAATTATTCTTTATTTTTAAACTTAATCTTCGACTCAAATGAAAGTATGTAAGTATATAACCATTCAATAATAATAATAATTATTTTTAGTTCAGATGGGATTTTAGACTTGAAAACATTGTCTAAAATGGGCCGAGCATATACATATACATATATATATATATATACTTAATTTAGTTGGGTTGCCCAAAAAAGAAAACAATTATTCTTTATTTTCTTATATTGTTGTGGAATTTCCTGTCAATCTCTGCCCATATGTTGCTGTAAACTTTTAACTAATAAAATTGACCCTTGTAAATATCTGTAACGTTCCTGATTTTTTTGCTTTGTTATGATGTTCTTGGTGGGTGATCACTACCTTTCCTTTTCGTTTGTTTGCATAATATCAACTTACTTTACCCCACAGTACTATTGATTATTGCTTCTTTTGGATCATTGACTGAGTAATGAAAGAGATTTGTTTCGCGCTGCAAGCTTCGTTTGATTAGATCTTGTCCAAGTAAAGCATATGGACCCAAATCAAGAATCAAGATCATAACAATATCATGACGTATATATGTTGGACAATTGGAGTAACTAATATGAGCTAGAAGTTAATTTTTGTCTGTATGACTAATTCATCACGCGTTAACTGTTTGAAAATTTCCATGCCATCTTATACGTTAGATCAGCGAGCAGAGAATTGCAATTAATAAGCTTCATTACTTTGTAAGAAGTAAAAAATGCTTAGTCGGGAGAGATTTTGCTACTGTCCCAGTATACGTAAATTAATTCAGATATTGTTTATTGATCACAAGCGACACAGTACAACTATGGAGGTAGGAAAGAAAGCATTACAACTACTTTGTACTCGAAAGAATAAGAGACAACTCATAAAGAGAGAAGTAAACATAAGACAAAAAATATCTCCAATTTAGGGAGATAATCAGGTGAACTTCAATATTATTGTAACAGTTGTGGTTTTCAGATGCATATTCAGCTAGTTGACAACGCTACAAATCCTCCTTATTATCCCAGCTGAACCCGTTAGAGGTTCGATATCTCCCATTTTGATCATGGCAGATGCGAAATCAGAGCTGAAAGTTGAACGGTTCCTGCTGTACGCGTTGACAATGCTATCTGTGGATCCACCACTAAACAGGACTTGATCCGACTGGAGAAGACCTTTCTTTTGCAACAGGTTCTTGAAGTAGTTGTTGTCAAAGGAATTAGGAGTCACCAGATCAAGTGGTGCCAAATTTCCATTACCATTGGGAGAAGTAACCGGACAATGGCGTCTACGTTTTCTAGCAAATCCAGCATCGATGTCACTTGCATTGTTGTATATCCTATCCCGGAATGTAACACATTGAGCTTGTCCTATTGTATGAGAACCTGAACATGAATGGTTTAAATTAAGCTCATTTATCAGTGACTGTTTGCAAGGAAAATGAAGTGTTATTTTGAATTTTGTTGAAAAATAACTTGTGCACAAACCTGACAAAGCAACCATGTCTCTTTCACTAAGGCCCTTGCTTCCAAAGAGACGAATAAGGCTTTGAAGGCTGTCCGTGAAACGAGGAAGTTGACTGCTAGCCAGACTTGCGCTTGCAGTGGTAGAATCTCTCCTTCCAAGCTTCACCGTCCAAGATGGGCCACCTACCTGATAAGTTTTTTCAAGAGAACTTAATCAATTTGAACAATTGTTAAATATAGGGAAGTAGAGTTCACAATTAGTGAGATATCTATAGATTCTTAGGAGGTAGGTTTTATGTGTATTCAGTATTGACTCACGTATTCAGATGCATCCCTGGCTGCAACTGCAAGGATGTCTGCACAAGATACAACTCCAGGACATACGTTCTCCACAGCAGATTTTGCCTGATCAATGACTTCAAAGCCTCTTACAGAGTTGTTGTTTTGAGTCACAAACTTTTCACTTGTGATTGAAGGGGAATTGTCTAGTAAGATTGAGGCATCACAACCCTGAATGAAGGCATACAAGTGACTCCATTAAATAATTGAAAACCATTCATATATAATAATATGGAATTTAAACAATATTATATAGTTTGTTTAATACAGGTATACACATACTAAACCAATACCTGAACAAAGCAATCATGGAAATGAAGGCGGATTAGAGATGCAGCCATTCTACGTTCTCGTGCAATGGCGGATCTGATGGATGTGCGAATGGTGCCAAGTGCATTTGGGCATGTGTTAGCATAAAATGTAGAAGAAAGCTGTGCTTGGCATGCGCTGCAGCTCAAAAGCAGCAGCATCACCATAGCATGAGCTCTAACTGCAGCTGTAACCATTTTTCTATTCACTCACGAAAACGAAAGCTAACTAATTAGTCAAAGAAAAAGCAAAGTTAATACACTAGGTAGATAGAGAAAATGAGAAGAAAGGCTGATGACAATGGAGCTTGCAGCTCGCTTCTATATATAGAGTCTTTTTTAAAAGGTGAGAGTTTGTCTTGGTCACTGCTTTCTGCTGTATTTCAGCGGTAACGAATTTATCAATTTTGGAGAGGCGCTGACATATGATGAATATGACCCTTTGATATTTGGCTTGCATGGTTCAGATGATTATTATAATAACCAAATGTAATAGAAGTCGTTATTGATGTGCCGGTCAGCAATTATGGCTTTGTATTACTCAATTGGAATCTCATTAATGGTTTAACAAATGACTTTTAGCTACTTTCCATCTAGGCATCTTGTAAAAAAGGTTTGCCTGGCCTTGCTCTCTGCCCGGTGTTGGCAGCCCACGTTTCTCTTAAAGATGGCATCCTCTGTCTAAAGTGAAGTGTTGCAAAAATATATATATATATATATGTATGAAGATGCTAATTAAATTTGATTAGTAAAAGGGAAAGGAATATGCAGTAGTTTACTTGTGTTAGCCAAACTCTGTAGTGAAGTACTGAACTTGATGTCTTCTGTAAGATTTTAGTGGAAATAACACGTCTCTTGCTTGTTTTGATCCTTTTTATCAGCAAAATTCTTCACGAGTTTTTGGTACATTTCGAGAAGTTATTAAATAGGTTACTCACAGCACATTAACCATAAGCTCAATCCATAGTTACATAAATTGTCAAAATTTTAATATTATATTTTTATGAAAAATTATCAAATACATTTAAAATTTTATTTTTAGATTTTACAAGATTAATAAGATGACACATACTTCTTATGTTATATTAAAAAAAAAGTAAATATGTATTATAAAATTAAAAAAACTCGATTAATAATTTTTTTTTATATTTAAAATCATAAGAAATTGAATTTCGATTATTAAAATAAAAAATCAATATTTGATTAGAGTCCATTTACATTAATTATAGTCTCAATCAACCAAGTTACAGAAGTTATCCTTAACTTTATTTCATTTTCTGTTGGTCTTTCTAATTTTCTTGGTGTAAATTCAAGGTGCCATTCCCTTTCTTCAATAATTAAGCTAATTTATCTCATAAAAGTCCAACTAAATTAATTAATTTAGAACAGTTGATACAGAAGGGTAGTGACCCTTTCACCTGTTAGGAGTTAGTACTTGGTTCGCTTATCCCCTTTTGTAAAATCGTCCCCACAATTTGCTCCGATCTTAATGTTGACAACGTCTTATAAAGAAGATGCCGTGGTTTCTCCGCTTTCTTCTCGCATGGTGTTGCGCGACTCATACATGGACATGGTCAAAGATTTTGAGACCAAGCCTCGAGGTGGCACCCACGCATACCTAGGTAGGGTTAGGTCGGGGTCCAGTAGTTTTGGATTGGGGCATGAAATGATACGTTGGGTTTTATTCCCATTCCGATAATTTTGAAATTTAAGCCATTTTTTTTATTTGGATTTCATTATATTTTCAGGTTTCAACTCTCGAATTAGTTTGTTTACGTGACAGTGACACGCTCAAAGTTTAGAGTATTTTTATTAAAATTTGTAAATAAAATTGTGAAATCCTTCTAATAATAATAATAAAAAAAAAACAATGCTCTGATGATAATTTTTTTATTTCTACAATTCTGGTTATCGATTTAAAAAAGAAACTTCAAATTTTGTGTAACTTTAGGTCATTTTTATAAGGATTTGTATAATATTTGCATGTTTAATCAAATTAAATTTTAAATAAAAATTTATGTAAATTTTATTTAGTATTTCAATTTCGAATAAGTTTTAGATCACCAAGTTCCAAACTACTGATTTTTAAAATTAAATTGAATCTATTTTGCTAGCTCTAACTCTCTGGTACTGTACCCTCCTCATCTAATAACTTTCAAATTAATGCCGTTAAATTGTTTATAAAAGCTTTAATTTTTTTTTATAAAAGAGATCACTATTTAAGAATAAAAATTATAAATATTAATATTTAAGTTTAAATTTATCGAATATTATTTAAAAATAATTATATAAATCAATTAAACAAAACAAAAATTTTAATTTTTACCAAAATAAAAAATATGTGCAAAATAGACAATAATCTATCAATATACAGAAATATACACGAAGACGTTATTTTATTCAATTAAACCAATTACATATATATTACGAAGGTGACGAAGAAAACCGTTACAAAGAGCTTTACACTTGAATGAATAAAGAAAGAAATGAAACAAACATCTACAAATGATCACACAAGAACAGAAGCATCAAACTAATTAACACGGCTGCAAATTGTCCTTACTATCCCAGCTGAACCTGTTAGAGGTTCAATATCTTCCATTTTGATCATGGCAGTCCCAAAAGCAGACCTCAAAGTGAAAGGATTCCCTACTATAAATGTTATCTGTGGATCCTTCTTTTGCATCAGGTTCTTGAAATAGTATTTGTTGTCAAAGGAATTGGGCGTCACCAGCTATAGATATACTCGAAATGACGTTAATTTGAGGTCGTCGTTTAAATCACTATTTTCTGTGATGCTGCGTTAGCAATGTTCAATTTTGTAGCCGCGGACATTATTATATTCTGTTTATGATTATCAGATCTTTCATGGATTAAAAACATAATTTGACTTTGAAATTCCGAACTTTTAAACAATATTATTATACACAAATTAAGGTCAGACATTAACTTTTTCACCCATTTTGGCCTTTTCTATATAATTGGGGACAAAAAATTTGCTCGTAATAATATTGTTCAATTGAAAAAAAAAATTATTTGATATATAAAGTTCAAATATTGTAAACATGCTTAATGTATTTATTACATATAACACATGCTCTCAAAATAATCAAATTTAATTTTTAACGTCACATTTTACATAAGTATAATCCTTTATAAAACTACTTTATTAAACAACGATATATAAAAACAAAGGAATATAGCAAACTTACGGATCACACATGTGACAATTATTTTTATGAATTCATATGATTAAACAATAGTTCCAGGATTCATAAATTGTCTTAAGTAAAAAAATTTTATCATCACAAAATGAACATTTTAACAATTGAATAATAATCAATAAAAATATTTAAAACTTAACGATTATATCTAAGAAAACATATATGACTTAGTTAAACTCTAAATTACCTTTTATCATTTTTAATTACAGCTACTTAATCTTTATTACCAAAATCAACTATAATATTTAAGATGAAAAAATGCAACTTTTCATATATGAGTAACAATCTATACAAATAGCACTAGTCAATGATGTGTTATATGTAATTAAATTGAAAAGTTTAAGTGTATCATCACAAACTCTTTTTTGGGTAGAGAATGCGATGTACTATTAGGTACTTTTCACATAAAGCCAATATAAAAATATGCTAGTTTTCAAAAAGTTTATCTCTTTTGGGCAGATAAATCTTGCAGACCAGTATATCATTGACCATGATTCTTCATATTCACTCTAAATTAGCAAACACAATAACCCCTTTTAGGCAGATGATTGTATAAAGTAATTTGAAAATATTCCCATTCCTACACATGAGAAAATCTTGTATCTCCAATAGATTCTCAATATGTTAAATATTTTATCATGAAATAAAATGTTAGAAAATATATGCATAACATATAATAGTTATTGAATTATGCATGGATATAAGATAATAAATATTTCATATAATAAAAAATCTCAAAAAATACTAAAAAGATACTAAAAAAATCAAAAATAAAATTTTAAGTGGGACAGATGAAAACACCCGCCTAAGTAGTCTTCATACGCTGCATGCGCCACTAGTCGCAAATGGGTTTTGTCCTGGCATTAGAGTTAAGCTTCTTCAACCTTCAGTCAAGCCAGGTCGACTCGACTTGTAAACACCCATTTTTTTCGATCTCATTTTAATCATAATATAATTTTGTTTCTTTTTTTGTTTATTTTTTTCTTTTTCTTTTATTTTATTTAGTTCATTCTCTTTTTTGCCAAAAATTCATTCATGCATTAAATGCATATGTATCATTGCTCACTAAGAACCACTTGCAAGTCCAAAAGTCCAATCACTGACTGCTGGCCACCAACTGCCTGACACCTGCCTAACTTTGCAATATAAAATTTGGTGATCAAAAGTCATCAACCAAATCTCTAATTTTTTTTAAAAATCCCAAGAATTTGGAATGAATTCCAAAAACTCTATAAATAAAAGCTCATTTCCTGCAAACAAAAAACTCATAAGGAAAAAAGAGACAAAACCCAAAGAAAAACCCAAACAGAGAGAAGTTTTTTTTAAAAAAAAAATTTGCCAAAAGCCAAAAAGACTAAAAAAAATTTTCCTAGCCTACTGAAACACCAAAAAAAACATATAAATAAAATACGAAAAAAACCACAATCCCTGAAACAAGAACCACAGTACCTGAAGCAAAGAAAGCAAAATCAAAACCAAAAAAATAAAAAGGGTTTTGATTGAAAACTTAGAGGGTTGATCTAGGAGATTTATGGGTGTTTTAGAAGAAAATGAGATTAGATTGGGACTTGGAGGTTGAGATGAGCTTTTTGTGATTTTTTTAGAAAATTTTGGTTACTAGTGGCAAAGGGAATAATGGCTGGTATGGTGGCACATTTTTGACTTCTGGGTTTCTAAGGTTTTTTAACGAGTTTTTATTCTTTTAGAGAGAGAAGCTCTTTCTTTTAGAGAAAATTTTTTTGCCTTTTATAATATTTCAAAAAAAAAATAAAACAAGGTTATTTTAAGTAAAAAAGATCTGCGCATAAACTCGAATCCTATTTAGGATCTATGCACCCGACCCATAACTTGACTTGCTATTAATTTTGACTGGTGTAGACACCTTAATTTATCCGGATCCAGGCTCATTGGGTCTAGTTCAATAGAAGTTGGGCCTAAGCCCATTAAACTTAGCTTAGATCTGGTCTAAAAGGGTTAGACTAGCTCAGTTTTCTTATTTTTATTTTTTATTAGTTAATTACTCTGAATTCTATTTTTATTTATTTATTTTATTTTTAGGAGATAATATTTAAAAAAAGAAGAAAAAAATTACAAATTCTACCGTGCATAGGCATTGGTAGAATTGCAATTGATTTCAATTTCTTTAGGATCCTAGGTGTTCTGATAACGTGAGAACCCAATCAAAGGAGAATTCGAAACTGATCAGAAACTCTTTTGATCTGATCCTATAAATATAGACCCTAGCTAAGCTTGAGAACACACAGGAATCAGAGAAAAAAAAAAAGAGGTGAAACAGAAGCAAAAAGTGTTTAGAGGTAGTATAGGATTTTTAGAATTTTTTTTTAATTTTTGGAGTTCTTTTTCTGAAAATTTTTGGAAATTTTTCAGAATCTGGTGAAATT